CCACTATTCAGTATTATGGAAATGAAGCGAGTAGTTACACATCTAAGTTCAGAGCCAGTATCTTTAGATTCCCTTTGAAATCACCTCTGCCTTCACACTAAGGTTCTGAACCAGTCAATTATTAATTAAATCCCATACTTCGACTGTCAGGGTATGTTTTTAAAAAAAAAAAAAAATCTCTGATGGTTCAGAAAAAACTGAAAAGTGCTTTAAACAAAGCTCACAAACCACAGTAATGCTATGCCTGTAACTTATCCAGCATATAAATAGTCTGTGCCCCTGTTCATCCCTGAGAGAGCACACACACCAGAGAACATGAAGAAAGCCTGGATATCTTCTGTCGGAACTGCTGTTGGCACAGGCAACATAATGTGCACTTCAATTTCTCCCATCTGCAAATACTTTGTTATCTCAAAGCCCTAAGAAGAGGTCAAACAACAGATCAGGAAATCTACTGTCTGGGAACTGCCTTTTTGGTGCCCACGGCCATCCTCTTGGCAACTTTTCTTAAACTTGACCTACAGGAAAGAAGGCATCTGCATCCGTGGACAAGGTGTCATGGTGTGGGGCTCTATGCAGTTGGTGGCATTTCATTTCAAATCTGCCTTTCCGGGACCTTTGGGGGCAGTATCATGCTCACTCCTCGAGCTGCTTTTAGGGAGCTGAAAAATCTTGCAGAACCCTGAGATGCTCTGGCCCAGCTTTCTGTTCCAGGAGAGCACTTACCCAGGGGAAGGAAACAGTTTCCCAACCCCCAAATCAGGGCCACCCCCTCCCAGGGGATAGCAACTTCCGACTTTGGGGATGACACATATATATTCAAAACGAGACTCGCTTTCCTTCAGTATGAACTTCTCGCAATAAGTCATGGAATCCCTTAGAGCCTCCAGGTCTGTCCCAGTCACTTGGTAGGCCCTCCTCTTGGTGACCGCAGCCACAGTGGCAGCATGTGGCCTCTTCCTGAGGGTCCCTCCCCTGCCTAAGGGTTTCCGTTCCTGGCATCCTGCCCTGGTCCTGTGCTCTCTGCCCATTCTCCCTTAGGAGGAAGTGGTCAGAGGACAGAGAAGGACATTTATCCCAATAATAGCTTGAGACTCCAGGGGCCCAGCTGCCCACTGCCATTGCACGGATGGAGCTGGGGTCGGGAGGCCCCAACACGACAGGGACAGAAGGAGCCTCTGTGTGGGCTGCAGAGGCAGAGCACAATTCAGGCCAGAACCAGTTGAAAGGCAAGGGACTGACCAGTTCACTAGCAAGGAATCTGGGCTGCACTGAGTCAAATCAGCCTGAGGTCCTAATCGGGAAGATGAATACAAGTCGGCGGGGCACCTCTACATGGTCCTGGGGTGCAGTGGAGTAAAGACAGGCTTTCCAGAGGTAGATCTGTGGCTGGCCCGACAGGAGACATGCCCATGGAGAGAGCTTAACTCAGGCACTCACAGATTCACAGACAGCACCAGCTGGTAGAGGGGTGGCATCTGAATGGGACTTTGTGGTCATCACTGACCTCTGGTAGGTATCCCACGGCCGGGGGTGACCAAACTCTAAGGCCCACAAGACTAGGGTGACACCCTTACTATATGTCTATATGTCTAGCCTTGGTACCAGCTCAGAGTAGGAGCATGTCTTACCCCTATTACCAAAGGGAGAGGAAGGGAGGGGCCCAAATGGCACTCCTTGTTAGCGAGGCAAGGGACACAGTAGATCACAGCAGGCAAATCCTGAGAAGCACCGGCAGGCTGGCTCCTCACAGCCTCTGGGCTCCCCAGCCATAACCTCCCCCCATATCTGAAATGCCAGTCCTTAGGGCTCTGTTGGGGGGGGGGTCACGTACTTTTAAGAAGAAACAAATACCTTTATCGAGGCATAATTTACTCCCCATAAGAGTCATTGATCTCAAGTGTATGACTCAACCATCACTACACTACAGTCTTGGAACATTTCTATTACCCCCCAAATTTCCCTCTTGCTCATTTATAGTTAATTCCTATGCCCACTCTCAGCCCTAAGCAACTATTTTCAGTTCCTATAAATTTATCCTTTTCTGGACATTTCAGATAAATGGTATCATACAATACATATTTTTTGCATCTGGTTTAGTTCACTTAGCATAATGTTTCTGAAGTTCATCCATGTGCAGAATGTATCAGCAGTTTGTCCCTTTTTATTACCGCATTGTATTTCATCAAACGGATTACTAAATGTTGTTTATCCATTCATCAATTGATGGCTACATTCAGATTGTTTCCATCTCCTGGTTATTATGAACAAAGCTGCTGTGAACAACTGCATGGATGTCTTTGTGTGGACATATGCTTTCATTTCTCTTGGGCAGATACCTACGAGTAAAATCTCTGGGTAATCATATGGTAGGTTTATGTTGAATGTTTTAAGAAACTACCAAATTGATTTCCAAAGCAGCTACACCATTTTACATTCCCACCTGCAATGAACAGAGTTCCAGTTTCTCCACATCCTCACCAACACTTGACATCATTGTCTTTTTACAGCCATTGTAGTTGTATTTGTACCACTTAATGACCAACGAAACGGAATATATTTTTGTGAATTTGTTAGCCATTTATATACCTTCTTCAGGAAAATATCTATTCAAATCTCTTTTCTTTGGTCCATTTTTGTGTTATTTGTCATCTTATTATTGAGTTGTAAGAGTTCCTTATATATTTTATCCCAGCATTATTTGTTGAAAAGACTGCTTTCTCAAACTTTTTGAAATAATTTGTGAAGGATTAGTATTATTTTTTCTTTCAATTCTCGATATATTTCACCAGTAAAGCAACATGGGCCTGGGATTTTCTTGTTGGAAAGATTTTAGCTAACAATTCAATTTCTTGATTTATTGTAGGTTTATTCAGATTATAGCTGTCTTTTTAAATCAATTTAGATAATTTGTGTCTTTCTAAGAGTTTTTCTATTTCATCTATGTTGTCTTATTTTTTAGAATAAAAGTGTTCATACTATTTTCTTATAATGCTGTTAACTTTTGAGTCTGTAGCGATTCCCTTTTTTCTTCCTGATTTGGTAATTGGCTTTTTCTTTTTTATTTTCATGTACAGTCTAACTTAAGATTTGTCAATTCTATTGATCTTTTCAAAGAACCAACTTTTGGTTTTATTGATTTTTTTCTGTGTGTGTGTGTGTTTTCCCTGTCATCAATTTCTGCTCTAATCTTTATTATATCCTTTCTTCTGCTTACAATGGATTTCACTTGCTCTTCTTTTTCTAGTTACTTATGGTGAAAGCTTAGGATATTGATCTGAGATCTTTCTTCTTGTCTAATACAGGCATTTAAAGCCATAATTCTTTCTCTAAGCACTGCTTTAGCAGCGTATCTTGTAAGTTTTCATGTGTTTTGTTTTCATTTCTTTTCAATTCAAAATATTTTCTAATTTCTCTTATAATTTCTTCTTCATATTATTTAGAAGTGTGTTGTTTTAAATTTCAGAACATTTGGGATTCTCCCAGATTTCTTTCTGTCATTAGTTTATATTTAATTCTTTTGCTTAGAGAACAAACTTTGTGTGATTTCTTACATACATAAACTTTTTAAGTTTATACAAATCTGTTTTCTGGCCTCGCATCTGGTCTATCCTGGAGGATGCTCCCAGTGCACTTGAAAGGTGTGGTAGGTGGTCATTGGGTAGAGTATTCCTACTCTATGTGTCAGGTCAAATTGCTTCATCTTCTGTGCCCTTGAATTTCTGTCTAGGTATTCTATCAATTATTGAGAGTGGATCTTGAAATATCCAGCTCTTATTCTAGAATCATCAATTTCATCTTTCAATTTTCTATTTTTCTTCATGTGTGTTGAGGCTCCGTTGTTAGGCCCATATACATTTATATGTGTTGTATCTTCCTGGTGTATTGTTCTTTCATAATTTGAAATTTCCTTCTTGGTCTCCAGTAATATTTCTTGCCTTAAATTATGTCTCATCTGCTATTAATTTAGCTACCATCCCTCTTATTGTTACTATTTGCATGGTATTTTTCTCTTCTTTTGGGTGTTCTCCATTCTCCACTGCACATGCACGTTGCCTCAGCCAGAAACACACTTGCCCCAAATGTGACCAAAAGTTCAGGCTAGTCAAGTCATTGGACCTCCCTGCTTGATATGCCTAAGAAGGTCACCTCCACCGACAATGCTGCTGAACGTGAGCATTGCACACTGCTCCAAGTCACATGATCCCCCTTCTACCACAACAGAGCTGCTGGTGGTCCTTATGCCTTCCATGGATTCAGATGAAAAATTCACTGTCATTCAAATTTGTGTTTGCACAAATGTAGGTCATGCATGGTTTCTCTCTGATTTTTTTTAGGATTTTTTTCTTTGTCTTTGGCTCTCATAATTTTTTTCTTACCACCTTTGAGTCCTCCTTTGGTTGTCTCTGATATTATTTTCAGGGTTTATGGTTGTGCTTCGCAGGGAAGAGCAGGGAGAAGCTGACCTATGCCATTGTGTCTAGACCAGAAGTGTCAAGTTTCTAAACTGTATGAGTTTGCAATATCTACTATAACCGTTATGTTTCCTGTGAGGTGTGTTCCATGAGCTAGAAAGCTAGCATCTTACCACATATATTACTAATGGCCACATTCTGCAGAGTGGGGCATAGGACAAGCAGACATTGGTGAAAGGGAATTAGGAGTATTTGTGGTCAGAAGGCATCAAAGTGGTTCAGTCCAAGCTGCTAGCCTCTTCCTAAACAGGGGACACGGTTCTCCAAAAGCAGGCGTCAAGCCTCCTCCAGCATGTATGTTGAAGCAGCATGAGCCATATTTTCTTTGGACCCTCTGGGGGTGATAACCAGAGCATGGAATCTAGACACATGCAAGGGCATGAAGGACACACATTTTGAGGCCAACGTGCAGACCAACATGCAGACCCCCTAGGTAAAGATACATATTTAACCAATTTCTTGGTAATATCAATAGAAAGTAAACTATCAGAGTTTCGTTTGAAGAAAGAAAGAAAATATTCCTACCTGTTCTGAGGACATTTCACCAAATAATGTCTCACTGTTAAAAAAAAAAAAATAGAAGATGATAAATAAATGTTACTTTAGATATAGAAGCTCCAGGAATCACCAGGAAATGCAGGTGCCCAAATGTTGCCCAGATGTTGATACAAGTCACCTCTTGGGGCTTTCATACTTCTCTGTGGATGAGTACAGCAGAACAATAGTAGGGACACTGCAGTGACTTGATAGTGTTATACTCCTGGATTGAGCCAGGCATGAAGCCATATACCCCAGACCTCCTAGTTTGTTAACCCAAAACATTCTTTTTTTTTTTTTTTGCCAAGCTAGGTTGAGGTGGGTTCTAACCTGAAAGGTCCTAGAGTAACAGAGTCACTGAACTTCAAAGTTTTACCTCAGTCATGAGAAAGCCTTTTGGGGAAACCTATTTCCACTTAGGTGCTCCTCTCTGTAAAATGGGTTTTCATTCTCTGATCAGTGCTCTTCCAGGACTAAGTGGGGGTCCTTGGAAAAACAGTCTTAGAGCAAGACATCCTCCACAGTAGGTCTCATTGAGAAAAAAACCCAGATTTTAGCTGCAGAGGAAATATAAGAATACTCAGGAAGTTATCCAAATAAGTGTCCAATCTATGCTCACAACTGAGTTCATCTCAAGCAGAAGTAAAGCCATAGGCCCTGGAGCTGGGTGTAGATCATTACACCAATGGCCCCATGAATCATACCTCCCTGTATCTAACTATAATCCTGTGAAAGTCCCTCCCACACTGACCCAGGGCTTGGCCACCAGATGTGCTTTGGCCAATGAAACAATAACCAATATGTCACAAACAAAGGCATAAAAGGCCCTTTTGCCCTGATATTTGCTCACTTTCTCTCTCTTGTCATAGGCAACTCTTCTGCGACCACATAAAGAAGCCTGGCTGGCCTACTAGAAGATGAGACCACATGGAACAGACACAAGTCCCCCCAGCTGATGCCCCAAAGCAGCCAGGCCCCAGCTTATCCACCAGAAGACCGCAGCTTCAGGAGCAACTCCAACCAAGACCAGAAGAACTGCTCAGCTAAGCCCAGCCCAAAGTGCTGACCTATGGAATTGTGAGCAAATAAAATCATTGATGTTTTAAGCTATGACACTTTGGTGTGATCTGTCCTGCAGGTGACCAGGGCAGGTTCCAGGCCAGCATGACAGAATATCAATGTTAGAGAGGGCTCTTTAGGTTCACCTGTTCCAACCCCTTATTAGTACGTACATTCCTTCTGCATTCTGTTTACTGAGCACCTGCTCTGTGCGGGATAACTTCCAGATGCAGCAATAATAAAACCACAGTTAGTAGTTACCGAACAATTCATATATTCCTGGAATTACCCTAGATGTATTAAATAGATCAGTGATCATTAGTCTGGGATCTGCACACCATTGGGCACTCTTAGGAAAGGCAGTTTTGAGGAAAGCAGTTTCTAGATCCTCACCTACCATGGTATTCTTTCCTCAGAATTCATTCTCCTGAAACATGCCTGAGTTCTGGCTGTATTCCTTTCCCTCCCTCCTCATCACATCATCCTTTCTCTGCACAGAATTGAACGCACGCCTCTCACCCATCCTGGCTTGTACTATGGAGACTTGTCCTAAGGGTAAATAGTAGGCACCAAACAAGAAATGATTTGAAACCTTGGTGCCGGTGTTGAGAAAGCGAATGACCAATGGCTGGGCATCTAAACCTTTCACCAGCAGAGAAGTTTCCAATACTTTGCTTTCAGCAAGGATTAAATAATAACCTAATCCAGTTGTCAGCTGGGAGAGTATTAAAAATCATTTTCGGGGCGCCTGGGTGGCGCAGTCTGTTAAGCGTCCGACTTCAACCAGGTCATGATCTCACGGTCCGTGAGTTCGAGCCCTGCGTCGGGCTCTGGGCTGATGGCTCAGAGCCTGGAGCCTGTTTCCGATTCTGTGTCTCCCTCTCTCTCTGCCCCTTGCCCGTTCATGCTCTGTCTCTCTCTGTCCCAAAAATAAATAAACATTGAAAAAAAATTAAAAAAAAAATAAAAATAAAAATAAAAATCATTTTCAATGACTGATCACTATATGACTTCGGACATGTAACTCCGTAGTACACAAAGTACTGAATAGTATAAGAAAACTTCATCCATTCCTGCCTCTTTTTATGTGGAATGAAGTATTTCAGGGTTAGCATCTATGTAAAAAGTAGGAATAGATTTGGTGCTGAATTCTATTACTAAGCAAATTCATACAAGGGTATATGAAGTAAACTACAAATCTACTTCAATAAAAATACATTTCCAATGAAATGTTCTCCGTATGGTTATTATCAAAATTGATAATATCATGGAGTTTTGATTCTTTATACCCGTTTTCTAGATCTCATTAATTATGTAACTCAACACAAAAACAATTAAAACCTGGAAACTTATGGAATAAGGAAATTTTAAAATCCTTAATTAAAATCTTTATACACATTATTTTTATGGAGAAGTATGAACAAAAACAACTGTAATAAAGTGGGATAAAATCTTGTGGTGGAAGTGGCTTGACGATAAAAGTTCAAGGAGAAAAAGGAACAATCTACAATTTCCAACAGTTTCTTTTTTTTAAGTGTATTTATTTGTTTGGAAAAAGACAGAAGCATGAGTGGGGTAGGGGTAGAGACAGAGGGAGAGAGAGAGAGAATCTCAAGCAGGCTCTGTGTTGCTAGTTCAGAGCCTGATGCAGGGCTATCTAGCAAGATATCTCGCTATCCATCTGGCAAGCTCTAGGAAGCCCTGTTCCAGGGCTAGAGTGCCAGCATATCACAAAGAGCAGAGATATCACAAAGAGCAGAGACCAAGATATCACAAAGAGCAGAGACAACAGGGTTAAGCCCCTCTCTTTCCATCTGGGTCTAGTGAGCCTTCAAAACTGTCCTTTTAAGGGGCACTTGGGTGGCTCGGTCCATGAAGCATCCGACTTTGGCTCAGGTCACGATCTCACGGTTTGTGAGTTCAAGCCCTGCAACAGGATCTCTGCTGTCACTGCAGAGCTTGCTTCGGATCCTCTGTCCTCCTTTCTCTCTGCTCCTCCCCTGCTCATGTTCTCTCTTTCTCTCCCCAAAATAAAATGAACATTTTTTAAAAACTGCCCTTTTGAAAGCTCAGACGGAGAAGGTTGGGGGATTGTTAGGGCCATCTCAAAGCAGCGAGTCTGGATTAATTCCTGAACAAGTAAAGGCCATTCGAAACCAGTGTGTTTGGGGAACCATTAGAATAACTCAGGGCTTGGTCCTGAGCCATCAAGATTGGTGCTTTCCAGGGTGAATCAAAGCTGCAGAGGCCCTGGGATGAAGTTCCAGGTACCCTGGCACTAACAAAGAGTCAGGATGAAGATTCACAGCTTGGGAGGAAGTGGAAGGCAAGTAACACATGGGTGCAGTTAAGTCCAGCTCACGTGAATAACGAGCACCTCAGGAAAACGAGGCAGTGCAAGGCAGGGGGTGAGGGCAGGGCAGCAGGAAGGCTGAGAGAGAAGGACACTGGCCCTCTGGCCTCCCGGCTTCCGGGATGGGCTCTGTTTATTTCAGGGCCCCTCCAGGGGATTTCGTCAGGAGTGGGGACAGCTACTCTGATATCCTCTTTTCAGACAGATCTTGCCAAGGGAGCAGGAGAGCAGGTGCTGGGCTCACCTCTGCTTTGCACATGTATGCGAGCAGCCCATGAACCTGGACACTGTGTGGTTCTCACACAGGCAAGAGAGCTTAGCCTCCCTCCATGTGGCCAGGGTGCAGAAGGCCCAACACACACATGGTTGCATAGAAAACGCAGACCATGTCCATATGACAAGGGGGTCTGAGCCTGATTCTATATTTGTGGGTTCAGCAAGCATATCTCATCTATGAATTTCATTTCCAGAGAGTAATGAGATCCTTTTGGAATACTTGTGACAGAAGGGAGGGACAGAGTAGGACAGAGTTCAGAAGAACCGGCTCTAAGGCCTTGCTACTCAAAGTGTGGCCTCACACCTGCAGTGGTGACACCATCTGGGATCGCATTAGAGGTACTGAATCAGAATCTTCATTTGAGCAGGTTTCCCAGGGAACCATCTGCTCCTTAAGGTCTGGGCAGTGCTGCTCTAAGGCTCCGGGGTCCAGCTGAGGGGTAACATTGAGCCCACCACAGTCCTCTGTCCTTGGCTCTACAGTGTGGTGGGGAGGTGCCTGGCTCCTAGGCCACGTGGGGCAGGACCTGCCTGCCAGGGCTACAGAAGGCCAGCTCCCTAGGAGCTGCGGGAGCTATGACTGCTGTTCAGGAAGGACCTTAGCAACAACCACCATGGAAGGCTGAAGGGAAATTCCTTGGCAAGGCTGGCCCCCAGATGGCGAAGGTTTTCTTGAAGACAAATGTGGAAGGCTCGGGATCAGGCTGGACGTGGCCTCTGCCACGCCCTTGTTTCAGGACTTTTCAGGCTCCTCAGCTGTGTTCTCTCTCAAACAGTTGCAGTAGGGACTGTCATTCCTGACAGATGGTGAGGATGACACAAGAACGTAGAAGAGCGAGTGAGCAACAACAGTCTGGCCTGCCGCAGGCGCCCAGGCGAAGCTCTTGGCAGCTCGGTAAGGCTCTCGGACACTGCGTGCAGGTGCACACGAGGCTGTCTGTGCCCGCTCCGGGAGGGACGAGGGCAGTTGGGATCTGGGTCTCTAGCGGTTCTGAGTGAAGCCCGGAGGGTGTGTCTCAGTCTGCCTTGTTGGCCCTGAAGGGGAAGGATGTCTCCTGAACCAACTCCCTTGCTTTGTTTCCCCGATTCTGCCTAAGGCCTAACAGAACCTGCAGCTCAAGGCACACTTCTCTAGCATGCTCCTGAACATGGGCAGAGGTGTCTTTGGAGCAAAACGGGCTTGGAGACTGCCCAGGCGGCTTCCGAACTCCAACAGGTGGGAGCAAAGCAGCTGGGACACAGACACATTTGTTCCCCATTTGTTGAGCAGCTGTCGCACGCCAAATTCCAAGGAGAAGGGAGGAGGCGAATGGCCCGTGACTCCCGTCGTCTGCAAGGGCGGCGAGCGCATCTGTACGTGTGCAACACGTGCCGCAAGCCCGTAAACGTGGGCAAGGTCTCGGAGCCTCGGAGCCGGGGAAAGCCCCGGCTCTGTTGACAAGGCAGGCAGATAGCGAGGATGAAGGCAGCTCTCGGGCTCCACAGAGACCGTGCGGAGCACAGTGGGAGCGGCACGAGCTGTGAAGGAGAAAGGTGTGGCCACGGGCCTTGCTCTGTCTCCGGAGCCCAGTGTACCAAGTGTCTCTGTGCACCTCTCAGGACCTCTGTTGGCCTGGAGGCTGACCTCCGGGCCCTGCCCTCTGGCTTTGGGTCCGTGAGACCAAAGCAAAGCAGCAGGGGAGGAGGGAGGGAGAACGAAGGGCTGAGGAATGCATAGTCCTGGCTCCCTCCCTGCGGCCTCCTGGTTTGGCACCGCCTGGGTCCCTCTTCCGCGGCTCCTGTTGGTGACCCTTCTCCCACAGCTATAGCTCTTGAAAGTTCTGGAACCGTCCTCCCCTTGTCTCCTAACTCTGTGCTGCAAACAGCGTCCTGCAGGCTGGTCCCTGAGTGCGCCCCCTCCCTCCCTGGTCCTCTTAGCCCTGCCCGCACTTCGGCCTCAGCGGAGAGGCCTTCTGGAAGCAGGGCTCGGTTTCCCTGTTTGAGTGTCCCCTGAGACCGTGGCCACCAAATCTGACACTTCCCAGCTTTGTAACCTTGCGCTTACGTGTAACCATAACCACAAGTTATCATACACACAGGACACTTAACGAGAGTCAGAATGTGTTAAAGTTTTTGTTGTCGTTGAACTTAATCCTCATAATAATCCTAAGAGCTTGGCACCCTACTACATTCCCATTACTTAGATGGGAAAGGTGAGGCAGAGCGGGTAAGTCATCAGCTGGTAAGTGAAGAGTTGCCATCTGAACCAGAGCCAGCCTAATTCCAGAGCCCAGCTATCACCCACATCATCTCTGGGAGCTACAGCGTCCGCACCCGTTTCGGGAATCCGCAAGGGGGTGCAGCCCGGAGGGTGTTTCAGAGGAAATGTACAGGATCTGGTGGAAATGTGACTTTGAGGCTTGGTGAGAGGTGGGGACTGAAGAGGGAAAGCAGGCAGCCTTCATAGAAAGAGAAGAATCAGCGTTCCCAGAACTGGAATCATTAAGACAGAAAACGCAGAGCAAGAAGGGGCTGAGGACACATTCCGGGCATCAGGGATGCCAACAGGAAAGGAGATGGAAGGAAGTGAACACTCAGGCCAGGCGGAGCCTTCCTAACCCCACCTGCCTGCCAGGCACAGTGCCAATACTGTGAATAATAACACTCACAACAGTGTGCTAACTGAGGAAGGCAGTGTCTACCCCATTTCATTTCGCAGATGAGGAAACTGAAGCTCAGGGCAGTTCAGGAATACATCTAAAACCGGTCTGTGGCAGAGTCGGGATCAAACCCAGGTTCATCTGACTCCATAGCCCCTTCTAGGAGAATGAGAGGAGTAAGGGCCACCCCCACCCCCAGAAACCACGGGAGGAAGGGACCTGAGAAAAAGAGGAATTTAAATGTGGTCACAGTTGATTTTAGCGGAGTCTCAGGGAGACACAGCTCCTCACTCGCTGTACTCACCAGTTACAGGTAAATAATCCCTGACTCACGATGCATTTTTCAAACAAGGTTATACTTTGCCCAGCGTCTTCCGCCTGTCTGTGGTTTGGTAGTGCTCCCATTCCAGACATGACCTTATCTATCCACTTACCTCTGGATTTCCTCTTGCTAAACACAGACTGCCAGATGATGGTCAGGGTGAAGAGTAGGACGCTGAGAATCCCCACACAGCACACAAGCACGGCGTATATGTAGATATCTGAGGGCAAGGACACAGCGGAGCATTGTCAGGACGAGCCAGGTCAGAGGAGATGCACCAAGTAAGATAAACTTCGTACGTTACCAAAACTCAACTCAAAATGAACCATAAGCCTAAACAGAAAATATGAACTAGAAAACTTTGGGGAAGAACACAGAGGAGAAAAATCTTTGGGATCTAGGACTAAGCAGAGAATTTTTAGACTTGACATGGAGAACATTATCTATATAAGGAAAATGTGATAAATTTGATTTCATCAAAATTAAAAACTTTTGCCCTGTAAACACCCATATGAGGAGGATGAAAAGACAAAACTTCAGACTGGGAGGAAATATTTGCAAACTGTACAACCAACAAAGGATTAGTATGTAGACGATAAAGAACTCTCAGAACTCAACAACAAAAAATAAACAAACCATCCTACTAGAAAACGAGCAGAAATGTACAGAGACATTTCACCAAAGAGAATATATGGTGGTGAATAACTTCATGAGAAGATGTTCAACTTCCTTAGCCATTAGACAAATGCAAATTTAAATCACAGTGAACTATCTCGCACACCTATCAGAACGACTAAAATAAAAAGTAGTGACAATACCAAATGCTAGCAAGGACATGAATACACTGGGTCACTCAACAATATTGCTGGCGAGAATGTAAAGTGGTACAGCCACCCTGGAAAATAGTTTGGCAGTTTCTTAAAAGATACATCTACAAATGCCCTTCACCTCAGCAATTGCACTCTGGGAAAATGAAAACTTAAGTTCACACAAGAACCTGGACATGTATGTTTATAGCAGCTTTATTTACAATAGCCCAAAACTGGAAACTGCCCAGATGTCCCCCAGTGGGTGAATGGTTCAATAAACTGGAGTCTATCCACCCCCCCCCCCCCCCCCCCCACCCAGCTACTACTCAGTGATAAAGTAACAAACTATTGACACATCTAGCAATCTGGAACCTCCAAACAATTATGCTGAGTGAGGGGAAAAAAATCCCAAAAGGTTATATACTGTGTGATTGTATTTGTATAATATTCTTTATTTTTAAAATTTTTTTTTAACATTTATTTATTTTTGAGACAGAGAGAGACAGAGCATGAATGGGGGAGGGTCAGAGAGAGGGAGACACAGAATCTGAAACAGGCTCCAGGCTCTGAGCGGTCAGCACAGAGCCCGACGCGGGGCTCAAACTCACGGGCCGCGAGATCATGACCTGAGGTGAAGTCGGCCGCTTAACCGACTGAGCCACCCAGGCGTCCCTATATAATATTCTTGAAATGACAAAATTATAGAAATGGAGAACAGATTAGTGATTGCCAGAGGTCAAGGAGGGAGTAGTTGATGGGAAGCTATCAGCTGATGGGAGTTGATGGGTTTGGCTATAAGAAACCCTTGTGGAGATGGGGATTTCTGTATCTTGGCTGTATCAATGTCAATATCCTGGTTGCCATATTGTACTGTAGTTTTGCAAGATGTTATAATCGGGAGAAATTGGGTTAAGGGTACAAACTGATACAAGGGATCTCTATCACTTCTTACAAATACATATTAACCTACAATTACCTCAAGATAATTTTTTTGAAGTTAAACCATGATCATATATGTCTCAGTCAATCTGCTATAACAAAACACAATAGACTGGGTGGCTTAGAAATAAACATTTACTTCTCACAAGAGCAAGGCGCTGGTAGAATTGGTGTCTGGTAAGAACTCTCTTCCTAGTTTGGAGATGTTTTCTCTTAACAGCCTCACATGGCAGAGAACAAAGAGAGAGCAAGCAGGCTCTTACGGGGGTCTCTTCTTATAAGGAAACTAATCCCATTGGTGAGGGCTCCACTCTCATGATATAATCACTTCCCACAGGCCCCACCTCCTAACACCATCATATTAGGAGCTAGGATTTCAACATATGAATTTGGGGGAACACCAATATTGAGCCCATAACAACGTTCATCCGTTTCTTAAACTCCAGTAATCAACTTTAACACCAATCTGATTGAGAAAATGCCAACTGCTCAGAAAGTGAAAGGTGGGGGAGAGCACCTGGGTGGTTCAGTCAGTTAAGGGTCCAACTCTTGATTTGGGCTCAGGTCATGATCTCGGGTTCAAGCCCCACTTTGGGCTCTGTGCTGAGAGTGCAGAGCCTGCTTGGGATTCTCTTATTCCCCCTCTCTCTCAGCCTCTCCCCAACTTGTACTGTCTCTGTCTCTCTCTCTCAAAATAAATAAATCAGCTAAAAATTTTTTTAAAAAAGAAAGTAAAAGAGAATCTGAAAGCATTCCTTTAACCTTCTATGTAGCAAAAAGCTACAGATGTTTGAACTTAGCAACAATATTTCTCTGCTGACAAATTTCTTTAGCCAACAGACATTTACAACGTAGCTACCAGCCACGTTCAGCACTCTCCTAAGTGTAAGAAATAGAACAATGGAGATTTAAAAGCCTCATCAAGAAATCAGAGAGCTGCATGGTATTTGCACCAATAGGAGAGTGCGCCTAGTACTCGAAACACACAGAAAGAACTCAGCCAACCTGAGAAGGTCACAAGGAGCTTCAAAGAGGGCTGGAGCTCTGTGCTGAGTCCTATCTAAAATAACACAGAAGGGGCGCCTGGGTGGCCCAGTCGATTAAGTGTCTAACTCAGTTTCAGCTCAGGTCATGATCTCACAGTTCATGAGATCGAGCCCTGTGTTAGGCTCTACGTTAACAGTGCAGAGCCTGCTTGGGATTCTCTCTCTCCCTGCCTCTCTGCCCTTCCCCAACTTGTGCGCGCGCTCTCTCTCTCTCTCTCTCAAAATAAATAAATAAACATTAAAAGGTAAATAAATGAAATAGCATAGAAAATGCAAAATACATAGAAAGAATAAAAATATAGGGAGAGAGTGACAAAACTTTATCATGTCAATGTAAGTGGCTTAACAGTACCTTATCATTGGCTACTCAAAATGTTTCTTTTTCCTTTCACAAGTGACTGTGATGGGGATTCACAAACCAAAACCCTGATGTACCTCTCATATTAGGTTTTTAAGATTAAGTTCCTAGAAGTGGAATTTCTGGGTCAACAGGAAAGTACCTCTGTAAAGCCCCTGGCACCTAGAGAAGCAGTTAGGTAAGTGCCCAAAAGGCAGGCAAGCTGGGGGAGGTGGGGGGCTGGCCTCCACAGTGAGCTGGAGAGACGAGGAGGGAGAATGGGATGGAATCAGACATCTCAGGTTCCTTTCAGCTCTGTCCTTCCTGCCCCCCTTTC